ACAAATAAAAGAATTTTAAATAATGATTTTTTTTTCCAAAAAGTAACTGATGTGTATTTTTTTTAATTTCAGAAAGGATTAACGCCACCAGCCCCAGTTCATACCAATAAGGAAGATCCAGCTACTCAGACTAACTTGGGGTTTATCCATGCATTTGTTGCTGCCATATCAGTTATCATTGTATCTGAACTGGGTGACAAGACATTTTTCATAGCAGCCATCATGGCGATGCGCTATAACCGTTTGACCGTGTTGGCTGGCGCGATGCTTGCCTTGGGCCTGATGACGTGCTTATCAGGTGAGTGTGCTCTCACCCAGTGAGTTGCCGAGTCAAAGGGAAAGCATGGTGTGTGGCATTGAGTTGTTGAATCATTCACTTGGTTATATTGGAAATTGGTTTCTGTTCTGGATTTTCATAAACAGCAAATGGTTTCAGTACATAAATTCCTAAAAACCAGGTTACACTTTTTAAATAAGATATTTACCTGTTCAGAACCAAGATACATACTCATTTATTCCCTCGGGTTTTTATCTTTGCTTTTATTCTGTTTCAGCTTTTTTCTTTTCAGTCCAGGTAAATAATATTTATATTCGATATTTTAGAACTAGGACCCAAGAAACCACAGAGAATTGCATGTTTTTCTGTTAAAGGACATTTGGGAAATAATAACTTAGAAGTAATTTTCAGTTTATTGTGTTTTATTAAGCTATTCTTACCCATTATGGTAGAGAGTGAAACGTTCTTAGGCTCCATTTTTGTTACTTTTTGATTTACTACTACTTTATAGACTTTGATTTTTTAAAGAATTAGAGCATAAGAAAGTAAACTTAACACTAAAATAACTGAACAGTCTGGGTACAGTAGCTCATGCCTGTAACCCCAGCACTTTGGGAGGCTGAGGTGGGAAGATCACTTGAGCCCAGGAGTTCGAGGTTCCAGTGAACCATGATCGTGCCATGGCACACCAGCCTGGGCAACAGAGCGAGACCCTCTATCTTAAAAAAAAGAAAAGGAAAAAAAATAACAAAGTTTACTCTCTGATTCTAAAGCCACCCTAAGCCACGTGGTTTGGTGGAATATAGTGAGCTTTCCCCTTAGAGTCAGACCTGGGTTTGAGTGTTGTACTCTGCCGTGAATTAGCCTAATGTTAAGGTGCTTAATAACCCCTCTGAGCTTTAGTTCTCCCATCTGTCAGATGGAGACAATACCTACCTCACAGGGCTATGGTCTGTGTTAATGAGATACTGGAGTTAGAGCGCTCGGTCATTCACCTCCCGTCCCTCAGCATGCCTTAGGTTTATCATGAAAATCATGAAGAACAGAACAGTTTCTATTCTGGCTGCTTGTTCAGGTTCATGTATTTTTAAACATACAAGTGAGTATTTTAATGGTGAAAATCATTTGAATACCTTTCACATTTTGGAAATTAATTATGGGCATTATTCATATTTCACAATAAGAACATGATTTTCTCTTCAGAAGCAAATTTTGGTTATAGGAAATGGGAAAAGTGGAGAGAGTCTGAGATGGCGAAGCCACTATTTGGCATGGGTTTAACGGTATCAGAGAACTGTGAGGCTGAGGCTGGCAGCTGTGAAGGTAACCAGAAGGCTGCCTTCTCTGCCTGTGCCCGTCCCCTGCTCTGGAGCACGGCCCATCAGTTCTCCCCGCCTCTTCTGTGTTCGGTTCCTCGTCCTCAGCTGTCACCTGCTAAGAGTCTCTGCTGTCCACTGGGACCGTGACAGCTCTTCTCACCTGTACTTTCTAAAATAATCTGTATCAGTGGTCTTCAGACCTTTTCTGTGTATGTTCTCTAAAATAATTTTGAAAAACTATATCCAACTCTCACATGAAAGTTGCCTAAAATTTTTCATCTTAAATTTAAGGACTTGTAAATACCTAATTTTTGGCATATTTTGTAAAATAAAACTTATGGTATTTTAAAATATACCCAGTGGAGTCTAAATACCATTAATAATTTGGTATCTATCATCACCATCATTCCATTAAAAAAAAGACAACTCTTTAACAGTTGAAAATTTATGTATTTTCCTCTTACCACAGAATTTTACCCTAATGATTATAAATTTTTGCTTCATAATCTTCTGTGGACTACCCCATCATATTTATTTGCAATAAAAACATGCAAGTAATATAATTGAATTTTAAGATGTTGGAAATTTCCTTTGTTAAGTTTCTAAATGTTAGCTCTATGGATTGAGTTATAGTTATTATTAGTACACAGTTGATCAAAGCCAATATGTCACAAATTTAAATAAACATTTTTTTAAAATTGTAAATCTCTTAATGAGATGTAAATACCTCTCTTAATGAGATCTTCTTAAATTAGTTTACGTGCCCATGAATGACTACTACTTACTGCTAGAATGAAGTAGGGTTTTGCATTAACACTGAAGCTTTTTTTAAAAAAATAGCCATAAGGGGGGGATGTCTTTGCTGCCCAGAAAAAAGACAGGTGTGAGAGCTGAGAAATTTTATTCACATAAATAAGTAGATGGGAAGGAATTTTGTTACAGCCGTGTCTCCAAGTTCAGAACTCTTCTGAGTTAACGTGCTAAAAATCACATACTGGTCTCTCACCAAAAGTGATTTTTAATGACTTAACAGCTGACAGCTCAGTGAGATCTTCTGTTGATTTTACTGAGCAAAAATTAGAAACCATCAAGTATCTACCAAAAGTTTTTCTAAAATATATCAAATGAATATTCTCATACATGTTGGTCTTTTACTTAAAATTATAGAAGTTCCTTGTTAAATTATTTAGAAATTGTTGAAAAAATTGGAATATTATTAATTTTAGTGTGCCTACCTTTCCCAATAAAGTGTTTGAATGGCAGAAGAAAGGCTCCAAAGAAAGAGGAAATAGGGGGACAGTAACCAAGGGAAGAAGAAACAAAGTTCTGATGCCAGATAGGGGTTTGTTCAATATAGAGTTGTCAGAGCAGAAAAGGCAAGATTGTAAGTGTCACTAAATAACATTTTTTTTTTAATTTTTAAAAACATTTTATGGAAATATTTAAATTTACAAAGCTGCAAAAACAAAATAGTACAAGGAACACCTGTGTACATTTTGTCCAGATTCACCTGTTGTTAACATTTTACCCTATTTGCTTTAGCATTTGTGTTGGACCTATCTAAATAAATTTTATATATATGTATACACATAATTTAAATATCTGCAGACATCGTGTGCATATAATTTATAAATTATAGATAGTATGTACATATACATACATATTTTAGCTATATTGATACTTTATCAACCATATTTTAATTTTGTCAATTGACCTAATAATATCCTTTATAGCAGTGTTTTACCCATCCAGTACAGGATCCAGTCCAGATCATGTATTGCATTCAGTTACTCTCTTTTTAGTCTTTTAATCTGAAGTATTTCCCTAGCCTTTTAAAATGTGTTTTATGACATCAACATTTTTTGGAGAATGTAGTGTCCTCCACCTCCCCCAGTGGACTGTTCCTCGTTTTGTGTTTGTCCGGTATTTCCTTTTTCACCTTGAGGCTATGCATTCTTGACTGGAAAACTGCACAGGTGATTTTGTGTCCCTTTAAGAGTGTCCCATCTGGAAGCATATGATGTCCATTTATCCCTCCTTGATAATGTTAATTTTGATCACCCAATGAAAATTTCTCCTGTATGCTGTCTTTGTCTTCCCTTGCAACTGATATGCAATCTGTAGGGAGGTACTCTGAGATGGTATAAATACCCTATTCCTCATCAGCATTTCCCCGTAGATTTAGCATCAATTGATGATCTAAACCTTCCCTTGATGTTTGCAAAATGACTGTCTAGTTCCAGGACTTCTTCCAGGTTTACCACTGAGCCTTGGCATTCTACCATAAGCAAGAGCTCTCCTCTTCTCATTCGTCTATTTGCTGCCAGTGTAGACAAATTCATTCCTTTTTTCAGTGGTTTATAATTAACTGTTTAACTGTTGTGTTGATTAAATTATTCCAGATTGGGCTAGTGGCAGCTTCTCCCAGCTGCCTCCTGAGTCCTTGTGACATGCTGCCATCATTTGTCTTTGCTCTTTCTTACTTTCTGGTATAACAGGATAATGCAGGTTTGTCTTGTAACCTGTTCTGCCCAGTCCTGAAATTGGCCATTTCTCTGAGAAGCCTTGAGGAGCCTTTTAGTGGAGAACGGTATTAAAACCCAAGATCTGGGTGCAGGGTGGGCTCATTGTTACTAAGATGTCTTTGCGTCTTGGCCTTTTGAGCACACAGAGCTATAACATACATATGCGTGTATCATGTGTGTACACACATATATTATGTACAAACATACATAAATATATTATTCAAATGTAGATATGCACACAAGCATAGGTTTGCTACATTTCTAAACATGATTGTAAAATCTGATTTTGTAATGTAGCAGGGAATAGTTTACGTATGCATTTATACATTTGATGTTCAGGCAGATTTATAAGTGTACTCATTTTATAAAACGCTGGCGAAGAGTAATTGCATTTATTACAGGTATGGTCCTCTGGCCCTGACATCATTTGTAAGTTTTAATTACTGATGCACTTGGTTTCACAGTTAGGGTTTGCATTCTTGATGTAGTTCTAAGGATCATTTTTTTATAACTTAACACAACTGTCTTTCCTTATCAATAGGAAGGAATACTACTGAATAATTTGGAGTCTGTTGTGAACATTATTTTAATGTATGTATAAGGAATTTTTAGTTTTCTTTCATAAGATATACTTATTTTAAATAGTTACAAAGGAGTAGAATTTGAATCATGCTATATAAGAGTCTTGTCATGATTCTTCAGCATATTGGTTTGTAATTTAAAGGTTTGTGAGGAAGAAATGTCACCTACATATTGGAAGTGGTGTAGCTTCCAGGTTATAAAATTCTGGGCTCTTTAGAGGGCATCAGAGCCACCCTTCTACCTCAAGCACCATGCCCGGCAACAACGTAAGTGGCAAGCGAGCCCCGGCTGGACATGCCTGGAAGGGAGTTCAGTATCTTCTTTAAGGTCTCTGAGGAAGACATGCCATGTTCAACAGGACCATTGGTTTCTTGGTAAGCTGTGTTAGCTCCTTGGCTACACCTACGAGTTCAATATTGGTAGAAGGGAAAGTGGTGGAATTATTTAAGGTTATTACATATTAGATTAATTCTAACATGAACCATTTCTCCCTTAGTATAAATTGTGATTTCTGAAGTTCTTTGGTTGGTTGTGATACACGCTGAGTAACAAACACACTCTTGAATTTCTTCCAGTGTTGTTCGGCTACGCCACCACAGTCATCCCCAGGGTGTACACGTACTACGTTTCAACTGCATTGTTCGCCATTTTTGGCATTAGAATGCTTCGGGAAGGCTTAAAGATGAGCCCTGATGAGGGTCAAGAGGAACTGGAAGAAGTTCAAGCAGAACTGAAGAAGAAAGATGAAGAAGTAAGTCCTAGCATGGCCACACCTGAGGGATATGTGTGGACTACACAAAAACAGCTTATTTTGCTTAGTGCCTATTCTCACAGCTGGCTGCAGTACGACTGGGTTAACATGAATGTGGTAGAAGGAAGCTGAGAGATTAATACTGAACACAGGCAGTCGGATTTTCTAGATGGATTATAGGCTCCTGAAAAACAGCAACTGTGTTGTGTAATTTTACGTGTTTCTTCCATAGCATCTGGGACAGTAAGTGATCAGTAAATAATGTTTGTTTTGTTGGGGAGGAATGGAAGCATTGAGAATATTGCATTTGTTGCTTTGTGAGACCAGTGGTTCAGAAGGGAAGTTTGGGGTCACATAAATTTAGTTTCTGTGGAGCATATTCCATAGAATTTAAACACTTTTAAAAAGAAAGATTAAGTGATTTTGCACAGTTTTGATTTGCTTCCTGGGATTAATGTCGTTTTTTTATTTTAGTTTCAACGAACCAAACTCTTGAATGGACCAGGAGATGTTGAAACGGGTACAAGCACAACGATACCTCAGAAGAAGTGGCTGCATTTTATTTCACCCATTTTTGTTCAAGCACTTACGTTAACATTCTTAGCAGAATGGGGCGATCGCTCTCAACTAACTACAATTGTTTTGGCAGCTAGAGAGGTGAGTGACATTTGAGAGAAGACTTGTTTTGTATTAAAACTAAACGTAATTAATGTTAACTTTGCTCCAGAAAATACTGGACAATGTCAGGGTGGGCCAAGACATCTTTCGTGTGCTGACTGTTTTACATCTGATAATCCCGCTGCTCTAAAATTGACCTTCTCCCAGGTTCTGCTACCAGTCGGATAAAATTCTTGTATCCAAACTTAATTGGTTTCTTTTCACTCATCTTTCTGACTTCTTTTCCCTTTGGTTTTGTCAAAAAGTTGCTGGGGCAGTTGTTTTCTTGGCTTGGTTTTCTTATCTCACAACTTCCCTTCGTGTAGTTGTTGAGAAGTATAAATTGGCATAATACTGAAGCCTTAAAAGTGTATAACTTTTGGCTCTTCTGTTATACTAAAGAAATAACTGAGTGTTGCACAGGCTACTTATAAAATAATTATTGCAACTTAGTGGAAGTGTAAAAATACCCTGTTTGGCAAAAGAGAATTGGTTCACTTATTTACAAATTTCTGTGTAGCTCTTGGAATGTTGTACTTTTCAACATCGTTTTAATGACTTGGAGAAATTTTTAAAGGTTTACTTTTAAAATATAAAATGAACAAAAGACTTTCAGAAATCAGAGCGTTTGCAGTGCTTATCTTTGAGTACTGCCATTATGGATGACTGGTTTGTTTCTGTATAGAAAATTTGTGTTCAGTCTTCAGATCATCTCATCGTAGCCTTTACAGACAGACAGAACCTGAGGCCTGGGCAGATTGGGTGACTCGTCCGAGGACATAAGCTGGCTGGTAGCAGGGCAAGCACCGGACTCAGGGCTGTCTGCCTTGCAGCCTTTCTACTTACCTTGTTCGTAGTTCTGAAATGCCACTTGTTTAAAAGACCCCTATCGGTGGTTTCTCTTTCACTCTTTCTTCCTTTGGAGGGGAATGGTAAAGTGTTGTGTGGGGCGTCTGCCATCGGTCACGAAGACTTACGAGGCTTTACCGAGGCGGCGGTTGGGTAATAGAGCGCTGCTGCGGCTGCTTTTCAGGCCCCTGATCTTAACTAATACATTTCGTATCTGTTTTGATATCACATTGTACTGTTTTTATCAGATTGAAATTGTTTCTAACTCCTCGGAAAGTTTCTTAACGTAGGCTGGAGTTTGAGGGCCAGGACTAAGATAGTTGGGAAAGGCTATTTTGTCAGAGAAGCCTCAGAAATGCTGTATTTTGGGAAAAAATGGAACTTTTTCATTTGATTTCCATAAAACAAACTTTCTTTTAAAATGTCACTTTAATGGCTATCCCATATATCCTCCTTGATTTCTGGCCTTTTGTTGGCTTTCAGATGGCCAGAACTGGGACTTGAAAGTAGGTGGCCATTTGTTGTGGTGCCGCTGGGGCGAGCTGCTGTGAGGCAGAATCATGTGTTTGTTTTCTTTCAGTGCATTTTTCTGTTCTGGGGAGTTTTTTGAGACAGGTCTCTGTTGCCTGGGCTGGAGTGCAGTGGATCACAGCTCACGGCAACCTCAAACTCCTGGGCTCAGGTGACCCTCCTGCCTGGGCCTCCCAAGGTGCTAGGATTACTGGTGTGAGCCACGGCACCCGGCCTTCCATTTTCTGACACGCTCTTCCGTGTGGCGTAGAGTGACCTGTGGAAGGCACAGGGCTTCCCTGTCTACGAGACACCTGGTTTGGCGTGGCGCGTGCTAACTGGGCTCGGGCATCCTGCCGCGTCACCGCATCGCTGCACCTCCCTGAGGTCCCTCACCCGAGAATGGGGATGACCTTCCTCGTAAGTTGTTCTGCGAATGAAATCAGATAACGCGAGCAGCGCAGGCGCGGTTCCACCCTGCACGGTGTTGGCCGGCCTTCGCACCACTAGTGCCGCGGGTGCGGTTCGTGAGCTCTTAAAGGGCAGAACTGAATGCTGTGCCTCTTTTTGTTTCCTTAATATTCCTACTTTTGTGCGTATTTTTTTGTATGAACCATGCAGTAGTCTAGTCCATTTTAATCTGCAATTTTATCTCCGCTTTCAACATGATTTAATGTTCCCAGGTTGGATTTCAGAGAATCCTGGTGTCCTCTCAGATGTTAGTGGGTACAAGGCCAATAGAGGAGGAAGGGGAAAGGAGAAGTTTCAAATAAATTTGGCAAATAATTTACCTGTTTTTTAAGATTCAGTACACAGTTAACAAAGACTCTGAAAAATCTTGTATTAAAGGTACTATTTTATTTACAATACTGATTTTTCAAGTATCACTTTCAGATAGAATGAAACCATCTTGGGGTAGCAGTTTTAGAAATTATAATACACAAATAGGCTGTAATCCCAACACTTCCGGAGGCCAAGGCAGGAGGATCTCCTGAGGCCAGGAGTTCAAGACCAGCCTAGGCAATGTAGCAAGACCCTGTCTCTAAAAAAAAAAAAAAACAGCTGGGCGTGGTGGCTCACACCTATAATCCCAGCTACTTGGGAGGCCGAGGCAGGAGGATTGCTTCAGCCCAGGAGTTCAAGGTTGCAGTGAACCGTGATTATGCTACTGCATTCCAGCTTGGGCAACAGAGCGAACTCCTGTCTCTAAAAAAAACCCCCAAAAACACACAAATAGAATTTGGGAAGCATAGTCCCACTCTTCCATTCCTTACAGTAGATGCTTCGAACCGTTTCCGTTTCTTCAGCCTCTGCGGCCGCCACCTCCTCCTCCCCCGAGAGCAGCAGCAGTTCCCTTTCTGCATTCCCACCCACCACAGTAGCAGTCCGCTCCCTCTCCTGAGTCCTAGTGCTCAGCCCGTCCTGTATGTTCCTCTTTGTAGTAAGCTTAAATGTCTGCCTTTTCTCCCAGCTCAGTTTTGTAAGCATTTTTAGTCTGAAAATGTTTTCTCATCTTTAAAAAAAAAAAAAAACCCTTTTCCTTACTTCAGCTTCTCTTCCGAACACCCCTTCCCTCCTCCTGCAGTCTGGAAGGCGCGGCTGTGCTGGGACAAGCTCCGATCCCTGCGCAGAGCCCGCGCGATCCCGCGTCCGTGTCGCCGATTCGGTGCTTGCAGTTCACTGCGGCCATTGCTGGTGCCTGCCGGGCCGCTCCTCCTCTGGCAGCCCTTGAACGCTGCCTTCTCTCCCAGGGTGTCACATCCGATCCCAAGTTTATTCACCGTCCGATTCAGCTGACTCTTGAGCTTCTCCACTTTAACTCCTGCTGGCGCCTATAAACCCCGTCTCCACTGCGTCTGCCTTTCATCACATTGGCCTGACCGCAGTTCATCATGGGGAGAAACCCGAGGGTCAGGCCTCATTTTCCTTCCCTACCACCATCATTTGCATTTGTCGTGGAGGCATGTGACCTACGCCTCCTCACTTTCTCTCAGATTCATCTGCTCTTCCCCGCCTAGTCGCCCACCCGCCTGCAGGCCGCAGTTGCTTCTCACCAGGGCTGCTGTGCAGGGTTCCACTCGGGCACCCTGCTCTCAGTCTTGGTTCCTTCTTTCCACTAGACTTTCAAAGCCTAAATCTCTTCTGTCACTCCCCAGCTAGAAACCAGCCAGTGTCCCGGGACAGAATAGTTCACGGGGTCTGTCAGGACCTGCCTCGCACCCACCTGGAGGGACTCTTCGGTTCTCTGTAGAGACGGCGAAAGTCCTCCACAGTTGGTTGTCTCACTTTTTGGCCTGTTGCTTCCTACTTAACCATGTTCCTTCCCCCACAAAACAAAGTTGCATCCTCTCGCTAACTCCTGCTTGTTCTTTCAGAGCTGTCTTTTCTGGAAAACCTTAACTGACGCTCCCCTCCCCCAGTCTGAGTGCCTCCTTTGCCCCGGCAGCAGCTTACCGGACAAATCTTTGTCCCAGGCGGCGTTGGGCTAAAGCACTGAGGACACGGTGGGGAGCAGGGAGGCAGGTTTCCGTTCTCGGGAAGCGTAGTCACACCATACCGTGAAGGTTTGCTTACTCTGTCAACCGCTACCTTAGGGAACAGATGTCTGGCTTTGCTCTCCCTGGCGCTTGTCACATGAGTGCTAAATACTGCCTGTGCATGAAGTTTAGTAACTGCTAAAAGGTTTAATTAGCTTGATTTCATCAGGATTATTTTGACTTTCCAAATTGATTTTTTTCAACTTTTAGGTCTAGTCTTAGTTATAACTGGTACGTACTCCTTTAAGCAGCTTACACCTTTCATAAATTTATTATACACCTGAATTTTTACAAGTTTTGCTTTTTATTGACCTCTATTTTTAGTGCTTCTTAATTTTTACCTTTCTCAAGTAGCGGTTTCAAATTTGGTTTTAAATTAATGCCAGTTCCACTTGCTCCCAGGACCCCTGCGGCGTGGCAGTGGGCGGAACCGTGGGGCACTGCTTGTGCACGGGACTGGCAGTGATTGGGGGGAGGATGATCGCACAAAAAATCTCCGTCAGAACCGGTAAGTCTGTTTTTAAATTACAAAGCAAACACCATTTAACTTTTTAGAATCACAGAGATTAGAAAAAGGGCATTAGCTTTAAGTTGTTACTTCTAAAGGATACCTGGTCTTTATAATTATCATTTCTGAGGGTATTACCCCTGGCACTGCAAACATGTGCTGTTTTTCCCAGGTGTATAAGTTGGTAAAACACAAATTCAATTCATCTAAAAGCATTATTGAATTCATAGTACCTTTTTAGTACATACTGTCTTAGCCTGTAAAATAGTCATCACGTGGAAATACGAGAAAGTTTTGGCCTTAAAATACATCTTGTATGTAAGACTGGGACTCTTAGGTGGAGACCATGTGTACTGATTCTGAAAATTTCCTGTGGCGCTATCAGTGTTAGGTCTAAAGATGGAATAAGAGTCTCAGAGGTTTCTGAACATTCTCATTTATAACTGGATGTTAGGATTAGTTCCAGTTCCACTGCTGCTTCTGAGCAGCACTGTCTCAATTTAATATAATAATCCTGTCATTTCACAATACAGGGCTAGAGAAGAAACCGATTCTCCCTGTTCGGAGTCAAGCATGTTAATTGCTGTTCTTTGGGGTTAAATGGGGTTTGAATGGTTTTGTTTTCAACATTAGTTTACTAGATTGGAAGAAGAATAGGCCACCTCATTGGCTCCCTCATAGTTTGGTACAGTATCAAGGTATAGGAAAATTTTGCAATATTTGACTTTTATCTTTTTTCTCTTCCAGTGACAATCATAGGAGGCATCGTTTTTTTGGCATTTGCATTTTCTGCACTATTTATAAGTCCCGATTCTGGTTTTTAACAAGCTATTCCTCTGTAATTAGTTTAAGATAGGTAACTGTACATAGTGTACATTACAACTAAAAGTGATGGAAACACTGTATTTTGTAGCATTAGTTTGTGAGTTTGACCCATTTAATGAAAGTATCATGTCTAAAGAGATAATCATTGATTCTATTTGTAACATGGGTTTTTAAAAGAAACCTGACTTCTAAGTGGATTTTTCTTCTCTCCAGCATAATTATGTGAATACGGTCCCCATTTCTGTTTGGTAGATACAGAACCATTGTGCGGTGGGGTCTGTCACTCGACTTTCTTTCAGCACCGACCCCTTTTTAAGGAATATAAATTTTCTCCTTGATCACTTAGGCGTTTAACATTTTTCTTGGGGAAAGAATGAATTAATTTCTGTTGCTAAAACATTTCCCTGAGCCAGCAAACAGTAATTTAATCATCAGTCTTTTCAAAATTGGGTTCTTTGTTTTAAAAAAAGAGGGACAAATATGACATTACTGTTACTATGACACAACAAGAACTGTCTGCAAGGTCCATCCTTCCTCTTTTTTTTTTTTTAATTGGGTAGGACACCCAATATAAAAACAGTCAATATTTGACAATGTGGGATTACCAAATTAAAAGAGAATACTATGAATGTATTCATATTTTTTCTATGTTGGATAAACAGTGTAACAATGTAAATAAAAGTGGTATGACCAGTGCTTGTTTTTTCCTTGTGTGTTATACGAGTTCGTAACTTTCTAATTTGTCAAAATAGTATTAACATTAATATAGTAAATATTTGAGATACACCTAAAGTAGCTAAACAGGAGCCAGGCATTGTTCTAAAGCACTGCCTAACCTTCACAGTTCTATGAGGTAGTTAGTAGGTAACATAAGGTTAAAAACAGAAAGAAAAAGGGGAACCTCACCCAAGGTTACACGGCAGAGCAGAGGCAAACGAGACAGTTTAATTCCAGAGCCTAAGATCGTTCGTTATGCTAAGACTACCTCATTTTCTCATAGCAACTTTTAAGAAATGACTGTTATTTAAGTATATTCTAACTTGACTACTCCTCTACCCAGGCAGCATGACAGCTACTGTCTGCCAGCTTGGTATGTTCTGGAATCATATGCAGTAACACTGACATTAACAGCCTCTTTGAAAGCGGAAGGACAGTTCTGTAAGAACATCCACATGTTCTTGTGTGAAGGGCAATAGTAGACCCAGAGCAATTCAGGTTTACTGAGCTACAGCAAAGATCCACAGTGTAATCTGAGGAGATTGTGAGGAACCCAGCACCGTCAATGCAGCCACTGTCCTGCATGGTCACTCTAAGGAGAGGTGGCTGCTGTTGTGAAGAGATGCAAAAGAGGTCCTCAGCTAGTCAGTAGCTTTAAAATGTCGAGTTGGGGCCAGGTGGCTCACACACTCAGAGTGCCCAGGCAGGAAGATCGCTTGAGCTCAGGAGACCAGCCTGAGCAAGAGCGAGACCCCATTTCTACTAAAAAAAAAAAAAATAGAAAAAATTAGCCTGGCACAGTTGTGCATGCCTGTAGTCCCAGCTACTGGGGAGGCTGCGGCAGGAGCATCGCTTGAGCCCAGGAGCAGGAGTTTGAGGTTGCTCCAGCCTGGGCAACATAGCAAGACTGTCTCAAAAAAACACAAAACATGTTTGAGTTAGAAGTAGCACATACTGATGAAGGAAAAAAGGTCATTTTTGGAAACTTTTAAGGAAGTCTGTGGAAAAACACATGAATTAAGATAAAGCACTTCAGAGAAATCCCAGGTTCAGTCCACACACCAACACCTTCATGCTCTGTGGTTGGACACCCAGAGTAGTGCCTTACCTTATTACAACCAGAGAGAGGGAGGAATTATCATTAATACGTCTTTTCTTGGTCAGAAAGGAGAATTCCTCGTAGAAAGTAGCTGGTACCAGCACAGCCTAAATGCAGCAGTTCGGGGACCCGGGGCCCAGTACCGGCTGATGATGTGCGTAGCAGCATGGCTACCCGAGGCACCACAGCGATGCAGCAGGACATAACTCCTTTGAGAAAATTTGGTGATTCAGACCTACAGAGGTAAAAGTGCCTAAGGCAGTTAGGCTCCACTGTTGAATAAAAGAAAGGAAAATATCATTGGTAGTGATTTTAAAATATTTAATAGTCTTTAAAATCCAAAATAATGTGATTCTTACAAGTTATGTGCCACATGAAGCAGGTGTTATTTTTTGAGAAATGCAGGTGATACTGAAAAACATTATATAACACTGAGGTATTTTTTTATTTTTAAAACTGAAGAAGGAAACAAAGTCTAGTTCTAATTATTTTTACATTTACAAAACAAAACAATGCTACTGCTTGGCTCTTTTGCTATAATTTTAGGTTCTGAATACATTACAAGGGTCTATGGGAAAGAGCATTATAATAATAGTACATGTAGTTTTTAAAAGCTATGCACATCAAACCTGGAAAAACGGTCATACAGCAAGAGCAGAGTGGAGGTAGGCTAGTACACGTTTTGACTTTCTTCTCAAAGGATAGCTTTGAAAAACAAGTGTAACCAATTGTTACACCAAATTAAAATGGCAATATTAAATTGGTAACAAAATGATCCACATATCTTATACAATATTGTATTTCCAAACACGAAAATCAGCTCATAAAAACCAGAGAACCTAATATAGCACCATTGAAACCATTCCTTATCCCTCATGCTTTATGTAATTTAGGATTTTGGCAGAAGACAACACCTGAAAAATGTCAGTCTCATTTTTATAAATCAATTTGGATTTCAATGAAATGTTTGCTTTAGGAAAAAGTATTCTTATCTCAAGATCAGTTAGCCATTTATAGCTCCACTGTTTTGGAAGTAAGAATGATGGGCTACATCTACTTTTAAATTTAAAACCAAGAACCAAGCAGTAAGGACAGCAATGTCAAGAATATCACATTAAGAACCACACAGAACATTGGAAAGAATTTGGTGCATGTTTTTACAACTACCAACTGATGTCAACAATTAAAAATGTACAAAGAAAAAACTTTTTTGCACTAACTGGTTTCAGTACAGCACTGAATTTAACTCATCTTTGGGCTTCAACTTTACATAGAGTGAATATGAAAGTGCCATACTGAGGCCCTTCTCCAACTTACAACGCCATAGTAAAATAAATTTCAAAACAATTCTAGAATGGTCTAAATTATACCTGTTCTGGCTGACATAATATTTAAAAGACATTTTCTGGCCAATGTTTTACTTGAAGATGATTGTCTAGTTTTACAGTATATCAATTTGAAGATAACACAGCTTTTCCCACATTTTAACTTCTTAGCACTGGCACGACCATTGCCAGCAGTGAACTTGTACCAGTCCAGGCCAACTCAAAAACATTAAAAACATCTGAATGTCATTTTTTAAAGCGATGTCACAGTTTGTTTCCTCAGAAATTTATTTGACATCATTATCTTCACCTCAAGAGTTAAGAAACATTTTTTACATCATTAAATCCAACTTGTGACTGACATGATTTAATTACCATTCTCTAAGCTGTGTGCTGTACCCAGCTTGTGGGACCCCAGCGCTTCCCAGGGAATCCCATGCGTGTGAACAAGAAGGATCCTCGAATGTCTGGGCTTCACATGTTCCGTCACTGCTCTACTGGCAGTGCTGTATGTGGAGGTTTTGTTACATTTTTTGAAGGACCAAAGAACGCTACACTATATTAAAGACAGCAAACATTTTTTGTAGAAGTTTTCAGTGTGTATACACTGTTCCACCTATATTTACGGACTTTAAATGGACTTTAGTAAGGATATGATAATGACAGCCATTAAAAGATGCTGTTTGTTTTGCTAACATTTCCCAAAATGGGCAAAACAGAGGCAACATGTGCCACTGGCTGTCCTACTGGCCTTTGGCTGTGTTGGGGAAGTCATCACACAAAAAGTGCCCATAAAATAGAGAAGGCAGCAGGTGAAACTAGAAAAAGGTCGGAGCTATGTGAAGCAGATCTGAAAGGAGTTACCTTTATAAATTTTTTCTTAAATGAGTTGAGAACAGGAAGGAAGTGCAGGGACATCTGGCTTTGGGCCCTCCACTGGGGTCCTGATGTAGAACAGATTCAGACTGTCCATGAGGCATCATGAGGGCTAACAACTGTACCCCAGATAAGAGCCAGTTCTCTAAGATTACAATGCAACACAGAAAACAAACCACAAATTAAATACATGACACTGAAATCACTTGGATGAGAAAACACAAAGATATTTAAAAATATAAATAAATACATTTAGACATTTTTATTCAAGAAACCCAGAGAACTGCTTTCAAAGCAATTACTTCTTTCAACCACCTTCTAAGTTCCTTCTTAAATACTTACTATTTTGATTGTCACTTAACGCAGCACCTCAGTGTTTGCTGGTGGTGGTGATGGAATTTCACTTAATAGTCTCTCCATAAACTGTACCCTATCTCACTAGAGAATGCTGCTCTGGGAAAACCCAGGTAGCTTACAAATTATTGTAAAACACTCAAAACAAAACCTACAAAGTATTATTTTTTATTTAAGAAAAACAAGGAATGTAGTGTTAAGACATGGGGAAAAAAAACTATGCAAAACAGTCACATGGAAAGAAAGTATTTTAATTTTTAAATATCCAAGTTTGCTTAATTTCTTTTGAGTTCAACACTTTTAAATATCCTGAATTAATAACTGTACCAACAAAATTCATCCCCAGTGTTTCCACGGGAGACATTAAAATAAGA